GTAGTGGATGGGGTTGTCTTGATGGATGGTCACGATGAATCATGAATTACATGATCCAAGTATCTAATTTTATCTTTTATGTCTCTATTTCAGCATGTGATATAGCATTAATGCGTTACGCGGGATAATATAATCAAAGAACGTTGCATTTGATTCTAAAAGTGGAGATGGTATCTTTTCATGATCTATTGTAGTAGTTCTATATAAATAGTGTAAGGGATCTATCATAATGTACAGGCATCCTTACTGTACAACTTCCAGCATCTCTTCTACTCTGCCGAATTTAGAACGGAGTTTACCGATTTGCTGGCCCCGCTCGCGTTCGGCAGCATCAATACGCTGCCAGTCCTCCCATGTTGTTGCCCGCAAGCCACGCTTCTCGGCCTCGGGGCGTACTCCCTCCCAACCAAGACCGGTGCTGTGACCGGGGCCATTCAAAAGAGACGCCTTGCCTCGGTGGCTGCTCAAATCAGCAGCCACCACATCTGCCGTCGTAAATGCATCCGTCATGGTCGTCGCGATAACGCCAGTGGGTCCACGCTTGACCCAGCCAGCACAGTATAGACCCGGTAGGTGTGAGATAACTGACCCATCGGGGAGCTGTTCGTTATCACCCGTATTTGTGGGGCTTGTGACTCTGCCGAACCCGTCGTTGGGGATGACACCGCGCTTCGTGTCAAATTGAATCCCCAGGTCTTCTAGTCCAGACAAAGGCAGAGATTTGTATCCAACACTTCGGAAGAATGTATTAGCGGGGATGTTGACCTGCGCTCGCTGGCCGTTGGAAAGATACTTGGGCGACACTTTGGCGCTAGTGATATATGGATCCGTCGGGTCTAACTCGTTGCGGGAGAATTTGACGTGTGACAGGCGGTACGGGTGGATTGGGGACCAGTTGAGGCACTCTGGCGAGAGAAGGAAATCTAGAGACCAGGATTTGGTGGATGTTGCTGGATCATTACTGGATCCCTTTGCGAGGAGCTGGATGAGCCGTTTCTGGGCTCTAGGGAGGGCATTCATGACATCGTCTGGTGGCAATAATTCCTTACGAACAGGATCGAACGACACACCCGGTAACTGGAGCAGCTCACGAAGCTCCTTTATTGTAAATGCAGCCTACATATTGTCAGTATAAATTTGCTAAGCTAAATAATGTATCTGAATTCATCCAACATACCTGCATTGGCCCTCGACGGCCGACTACGTGAACTCGCTTGATCTTGCTCTTGGCCAATGCCTCCACAGCATAATCTGTTATGTCAGTCTTGCGCAGAGTATCCACATCTGAAAGTAAGATTCTTGCTACATCTAGCGCAACGTTGCCCTGGCCGATAATCACTGCGTTTTCACCGGCTGTCAGGTCTGGTGCTAGGTCGCGGTGCTCGGGAAGACCGTTATACCACCCCACAAATTCGCGAGCTGAGTATACATTCCGACAAGCTTTCTCTCCGGGAATACCCAACTCCTTGTCCCTTGGAGCTCCGTATGCGAATAAGATAGCGTCATAATGTGGCTTAAGCGCCTGGAGAGGGAGATTCTCGCCAAGTTCAATATTGCCGATGAAATTGAAACGGGGAGATGCGGCAACTTCGGTGAATTTCTCCTCACAATTCTGGGTGTCGGTCAGATTAATCTATCTACACAGCAAGATAGATGGGGCACAATAAACGTGAGCAATTAGCCACGACGTACCTTCACTTCCGGATGGTCTGGCGCTACCCCATACCGCACCAGCCCAAAGGGCACGGGCAGTTTTTCGTACATATCTACCACAGCATCATCTACTTTCGCGAGCAGTCTATAGGCTGCATAGAAACCGGCCGGACCCGACCCCACAACAGCGACGCGAAAAGGTTGATTAGTCTGAACGGACTGACTGTTATGACGTCGTTGCCATACTGGTTGCGGCAAAAGACGATGCGGCGAGCGGCGAAGTGGAGAGCGGCTGATCTGCGCCGTGCATTGCGAGCAGATGTAAGGCACACGCTGGAGGTTCATTGTGCCTGAGACGGATACGTGGTGGAGTTCGCAATTAATTGATCCATCTGATTGACTTTCGCCGAGATCGATCAATGGCCATGACGGTAGTGCACGTGATCCTTATCGGGGCGGTTGCCGCGCCGACTATCGCGATGTTGACGATCCGGAGTAGATAGAGAAGGGCTTTTGCACGGGTCAGCTAGCAGGAGCTTCTCGGACACTTTCCTCCTCTGACATTCCATCGTTCCATGGTTCCGTACATTGTTCCTACATACTTCATCTCCCCCAGCATTCTTTTTTGTTAAGGTTATTGCGTCTACAGCCACTCATCTCCCCGCTCTTTCGCGTGGGTGGATGTATTGATAAAGACAAAGTCAAAAGATTCTTCCATCGCGACAATGGGAGAGTCGCCTCCATTCCTTTATGGCACCCCTTCAGCGTACAGCTTTAGTGGGCCGACGGACCGTCCTTTCAACCCAAAGGCTGCGACACAGGCGAGCTGGACTCGGCCACCGTCAAGGCCCAAACCAAAAGGGCCCCTGGTGAATTTTAATCGGCATCCGGACTCAGTAAGTGTCTACGATATTCGTGTGTAAGACCTAGATACTGACGATATGGTACCCTGAAGTATTGTAACATTCCCGGTGGCAAGTCCAAATGGACCCCGATGCACCCAAACACTAAGAACAGGGTGATATACGGGCGGAAGGTACAGCTTGGGCTGCGCATTCTCCAGTTGATTGGAGCTCTTGGGTCTCTTTTCTGTGCCATTGTTATCAAAAATGCTGCTGCTGCCCTTATATGGATTGTCCGCGTCGGAGTAAGTACAGACCGAGTTTTATCTGGTTGAACGTTGCCCTAACATTTCATTAGCCGGCTGTGGCAATTCTACACACTCTTTATGGTATCTATCACCTCTGTCGCTCAATTACAAGACCCGCTGGAACTCAAGCCAGTTATATGTTATTTTGCGGAACCTTTGACCTCGGCCTGGTCCCTTTTTACGTGTTTGCGGCATATTTAGGCTTCAACCAATACACTGACAATGCATACCATTGGAGTACTTTGCTTAGTTCGGACTTTGAGGTCTCAACCAAAATTGCACAGGCCACGTTTTTGCTGAGTGTCATAAATGGCGGATTGCATGCGATCTCTTTGGGAATTTCGGTCTTTCTGGGTCTCATTTTCCGCAAAATTACCCGTCTGCCCCCAGACCTGAACCCATTGGAAGATAACCTGACAGCTCGTCCTCACAAACGAAACAAGTCCGAGGTTACCAAGAAGCATACTAGCAGCTCTACTTTGGATTCCACCATGTCGGGCGAGACGCTCATCGGCGCACCTCGTACTATGTCGTTCATGCACACGCGGGCCAAATCATCCGAGGGCGGTTCTAGTACCTCACCGTTAGACGCGAGGGAGAATAGACTATCCCAGATGACCATGGCTTATGATCATGACGAACTTCCTGTGCCGCTAATGCCTTTTGGCCAACAAGCGGACACTGCGGAGCACATGATGTACCAGCCTCCGGACCAGGACGCAGACATTCTCACGAGGCCTACAACCAGAATTTCCTACGCTTCACCAGTACGAGAGCGATCTCCGGATGTCCCCAGCCGATCTCAGTGTGCGAGCCCAGCTTCAGAAAATTGGATTGCGTTCCCGTCTCGATCCGCTTCACCCGTGGAAGAAAGCCAAAAAGAAAATCTCCTCCACCGCGACCCCTCCTCTGTGTACAGTAGAACTACCAATACGCCAGCTTCTGGGAATAGTGGACCCTTGGATTGGTTCAACAATCAGCGCATTGGATGGGACCTTGAAGAGACAATCCGAGAAGATGTACGGGGCGAATATGAATCTATTCCCATACAGGAATATTATGGAAACGATGATGGGAATCACTATCTTCCACAGCGAGATAGATTCTACGATAACGCCGAAGAGGATATTGGGGACCATCCCATTCATATTTTCGAGGACCATGACGAGGTTAGGGAGTCTTCCGAGTCACTACGCGTCAATCCTTTAGCGCTGAACCCACCCACCCCGCAGCCTACCTTTGATGAAACGCCTGATGATGCAACACAGAATGGCCGTATGGCGCTTGTGGATATCCCTAATCTCTCCCCTAACCCAACAGCTTCGCCACCCCCTGTTGACAGCCCGGAGAAGAACGGTCGGTTTTACGGTGAACTTGAAAGCAAGACTGGACTCAGCATTCCCCGGAACGTCAGCAATCACGATGAGGACTCGCGTGGCTTAGGGCGGAAGAAGAGCAAACTTATGAAACGCAGAAGTCAGAAGATGAACACTTACGGCGCTCTTAAGCAGCACGACGATGCGATCAATGTCAATGAAGACGGACTTGTAGTTCCGCCTCACAGCCCTATGACAGTCGAAAGCGATCGTAAGGGCCGTGTTGTCAGCAACTCTGGAGCTGATTTCGGTCCTAATGTGAGCGGTGGATCAGCTCTATCATATGGTAACTACATTGCGGGGCTGGGAGTTGGAAGAAGACGAGATGTCAGTGGTAAGGTTGCGGAGGAAGGTCGGGGCGGCATAAGCAAGGCTACAGACGAGAAAACAACCATCCGGGCTGCTGGATGGGCACGTTTTGCTGGACTGTAGTGCTTTATTTTACGCGATGAGGCGCAAAGCAGATGTTTTTTCGGTCATGGGATTAATGTGATCTGGTAATGTGTTTGGCATGATGGAATTTCTTTACGATGTTTGATGGATGTTTATGCTATGATACTCCCTTGATTCATGTATGTAGTAACGTAAATATTGCACGAATTCAGAAGAATAAATATGCACTCGCCTACGTGATCAGGTCAACAGGACTCGCAGTCCAAGAGTCTTCTGCCTCATTTTCCTGGATAAATTTTAATTCTTGCAAGCAAACCCCGACTCCTGTATAATATCCCCGTTGTATCTTCAAGATGATTCCACTCGAAATCATGTTTGGCATGATATATTCCAGCGCGGCCTCTTCTTCAACAACGAGGTTGGCCCGTTCACCGGAACCCTAAGGCAGGAGGGACATGCCTCCAACCATTGTTGTTATGCTTAGCAATAGCATCGTATATCTCATGTTCCAACCTTAAGCTAGCTTGCTTATGCTCTGGGAACTGATGTTCGCAAAACTTGCCCAGCAGCAAACTGTACGTATCGTCTTTCGATGAATTGTCATCAGTAGTCACCCTAACTTCCCCACGCTTCGTAATCCGTAGGCAATTCTCTAGGAACCAAAAACACTCGGGTGAGTTGAGTCTTATCTTCCCCTTCCATTCTGTCCAGGGCGAATTCTCTGTCTTAGCCTCAACATACCATTTCACTGTCCTCCTTTTCATGTGTGGGTTCTTCCTGTAGAACGTATCAAGTCTTGCTTGAATACCATCAACCAACTTTTGGTCGGCTTCCTCTTTATTTGGTGGCTCGTCCGGGTAAGCCTCGCCGATCTGAATGGAATAGATTCCAGGGCTGTGGTCTGTAGGTTCCTTTGTACGCTTCCCTTCTCCCTCTATGGCACGCCGTAGGCATTCCACCAGAAAACAACGATAGATTTCTGTATCGTCAAGCACTTTGCTGACCCACTTATATCGGACTGAAGCTTTTAGCTTGATGTACCACATTACTTGTGTAGGCTTGCTGGTCTCGTGCTCCTGTGGTGTATCCATGTTGTATATGGTTACTCCCAAGTGGTGGTCGGTGTCCATACCAGTCAACCGTAATAGTTTAGGAAATGTTATCCGTATAGAGATCATAAGCATGCATGAACAACAAAAATTGATAATCTATAGTAGTAAGCTTCGGAGCTTGAGTCGGCTTTATATTCTATAAAAAAAACTTAGCCCTTGTCTACAGAAGCCATCCTCGACAATGAACCACAAGACAATGATTTTCTTTATCGCGTAGAATAATATACGGTGATCTACAAACAAAAGGACCTCGCACAAGCCTACGTCTTTGTAACTGCCTAAATCCCTTCTCAATACACTATCCCTAACCATATCCAGCTACAGCTACACCGCCATGTTTAGCTGAAACACGGCACTGACAAACTTCGGCTTCTCATCCAGTAGGTACTTGCCCAGATTAAGAGACGGTATGTGCTTTTGTCACTATTATCCCTATGTATGATCGTGACGGCATCACGGTTTGTAAAGTCAGTATTATCCACGCTTACGAATTATGAACTTCGTTCCAGGGAATGCTTTGCTAGAACAGATGGCGTGCTAGGGGGCGTGTGTCTTGCAAGTTTATATCGATTTCGTCGGAGGTGCTGTCTTGGACTTGGACGAAGTGTTCAATTGGTAAATTCACGTTTTGTTGAATGCAGTGTGGGAGGTCTTTTGGATGTGGGCTTCATCTTTGTTTTGGGGTTTTGGTTTTCATGCAGAGATTGATTATGGGTAAAGAACAAGGTATTACGTTATGACAGTGAATTGTCAGGCTTTACTGTTACGTGGGATTGTAGCGGTTCCTATGAGAAGACCCTCTTAACAGGTCGGACTGGCCCTAAAGAAGACGGAAGATGGAAGTAAAACCGGTGACAAGAAGACTAAGACATGAGTCAGTCTTCCTTTCTCGCAGCGAATAGACATATTTGGTTTTATGGCTCTAGTTACTTAATTTCCAATGAAGAGTTACTGGATTAGTAGGTGTCCGTTACAGTACATATAACTATGTCTTCATTTAGAAAAATTTGTAGATAAAGGGGATTTACGTGGAGAAATACCGCGGATACTATGCGGGGTCTGACTTTGAGTGTAAGTCGCCTGTTGGGTGTGCTACGAAGGGCGGATATGTTGATGTGATCTTGGATTAAAGGGTGTCTTTATACTTCTTTAAAGCGTCTAAGGCTACTGTTTTCTAAAAGAAGATATCTTCACATCGGTAGTTTCCTTCAGGGATCAGAGCTTATTAAACTATACAGAGAGGCTTGAATGGTTTGCTCAGGTCAATGCTTTTCTTTACAACTTCATGTCTTAAGCCTTCAAGATGGTACTGAAAGATAAAAGAAATGGTACCTATCTTCGTAGAACTATTCATGGCGCCAGTAGTGAACACGTATTCTATCAATTGAGGTCGATGATATACGGAGATGAAAGATGGTCAAAAACAAGTATAAAGAACTCTTGTTAGTTGGAGCCAAAGCTTTTCATTTTATTTTTACATTCTTATGTAACATTTAGTATAGTGTACACCATGTAGTCTCAGACAATACTTTGCTTTGGGTGTCTATTGTTAACCTTAAACGTCGTTATCTTTTGACATCATGGATGACTCTGCAAGGGAGTTTTATCAAGCAATTATGGCAGGACGTTCGAGTCAGGGTAAACTTCCATACTTAACAGCGACAATACAGAAGTGGTCCTAACAATATAAGAATATCGAAAAGTCATTGAAAATGTATGTTGGGCCGCCAAAATTGCAGGCACGCGGAGTTTCTCTGTATGAATGGATTTTCACTTTGACAGAGTGACTACCCTGTAATGTTCCCGCAATTAATATATCAGAAGCCTTAAGAACGCAGTTTGCGCGTTTGGCCGTGTTGCCTCTCAGCCCCGACAAGCAGTAGATTCTTCCATGCAGCCCTATAGATTTGCTGGCTCTTATCCTTACTACCTTTTGCAGGTTTAGCCTGCGTACAGTATGTGAGTTCGTCGCAAACGCTGGGACATCTTACCTTCATTCATGTTGGGATCAGTCGAAACCTGAGTCCTTTAATATCTGTTGCTACCAATGCTGACCAAACTACAAACAATTAAATATTCTTATAGAAGTGCATGCGAGAAAGTGAACCCATATAAAGACATTGCTTCAGAGAAGAACAAAGACATATCCCTTACATTATTACCTACAATATCACCCCAGGACAAAGGTTCGTCTCAAGGATAACATGGAAGGAAACTAATTCAAACAAGTTTACCGGCTGCTGTTGACCCAGTCGCATACTTCTTTATCAAACCAATCGTCGGATGTATCGCTCACGCTTTGATGTGATACGAAAGTATGTCTGTCCTCAATTTGAGGCCTACCAAGAATATGAAGTTCTGCCCGTGGCTTCCTTTTGGTATCAGGCGTTGATTCTCCGCGAAACAGACCTTCAAGGTACTTCAACATCTCTACTCTTGCCGCTTCTTGCGTTGGCTTCTTGATACCGGGAATTTTCTTCGAAAATATATAACTAGGGGCTGTGTACTTTTCATTTCTGTACTTTTCTATAACAGTCACATTAAGGATTCCTTGCTTGATATACTGTATGACTTTGCTTGCGTTTCTCTGCGTCTTCTCAAGGTCTTCGCGGTCGCGCTGCGTATCGTAATCAATGATTCTCTTCCCACAACGTAGGAAGTTGACCTCAGCATAGTATTTCTTTTCTAGGAAGTCCCAAGAATTCATTTTGGCTGAGTGTGTATGAAGCGCTTTCTGAATTTTGTTCAGAGTAGTCCTCTTAGGTAGTAAATAGTAGAAGTGTAGGAAAGTTATAATAACTGTTCAGAAGACTGGAGAACCTCATTCTTTATTAAGTATTTGAAGATAGCTATCAATGCGGTAAATTCCATTTACTATATTCATATATTGTATTAAGATACAAAGCTGTCTCAACTTTTCACTTAAACGTCGAAATAACTGCAGAGGATCTTCGGAATAAGCCTATGCAGATAGATATAGAGGAACTTTATCCGAGGCATAGGTTCTCTGGTATTTGACATAGAACTGTTATAATAGTTTTATAAGAAAAAGAAAAATGTGAAAATAATATCCTAGAAGATCAAGGTGATTGATATTACATAGAATAAAGAGATTTTCTCATGATTTCAAAAACAAAACAACAGAAGAGAAGAGACAAATACAAGGCAAGATACCACTCTCAGCCCCCCATTTCTCGCCAAAATGCCAGCATATTCCACGATTCCACACAAGACGACTGCTTCTTCTCATCACCAGGGATTATACGGCTCTTCCGGCAGGTCATTTTCGTCTAATGGCGGAATCCAAGGTGTTGGGGGGAGTGCAGGGGTATCCTCGCGAGACGAACGTCCTCGGTCAGACCTGGATTCTATGCCGAATGCTTCAAGCGCAGCTATAGAACGACGGGTATGTAATGCTGCGAGTTCTTCTAGAGTTGATCCTTCTTTCCACATAGTATCAAGCTTATGTATCATAGCTTTTGTCGCATCGTCTTTGGTCGGCTCTTGACCCGAGTATTCAATAGGCGCGGTGAGAACATTTTTGACGAAAACATTGTCACATTTCTCGATTTTCACTTGCAGCCTCCCATGCTTAACCATCTCTCTAGCCTTGGCTCCAAATCTCGACGATTTTCTAAGGTTTTTGGCATCAGTAATCGGATCGTATCTATTATGTTCTGGCTCGTTTTCGTTGACTGGAAGGATACTAATCTCGGCCCAGTACTTTGTTTTACCAATGCTCTGAAGGCGGTCCATTGGCTGCGATATTTTGAGCGGATCTCCTTGTGGTAGATCTCAAATGTATTTGGGAGGTGAGTAGAAAAGTATGGTAGGACTAGCAAGAGCGAATATTTGGGAATGAGAAAGCAGGGTGTTGACTTGTTATCGTAGACCTTCGAAGTACTGGACGAGGTTATATACTCCAAAAGCAGACTCTTGAGTCTTGAGGCCAATTTGTAAGAGGAATAACTTCTTCCAAGGTATCTCAAATAGTCAATGAGACTCAAAATAATCGTTCTGACTTTCTCTTTAATTGTCTAAACCAGTCCTGAAGATATTTCGAGGCAAGTCCACTCAAGGATAAGATATTTCTGCTTAAAAAGGCTCACATAGAAGGACGTGGCTTTGGTTGCTTGGTTTTGAGTTGAATCCTAGGAATCGCTTGTGGGACTAATCTGAGACGTACGTTGGCTTTATATCTCATTGATATCGCTATTATCCGTCTTGTTTTGCATATGCAGATGGTGGTCTCCTGGTAATTTCTAGGGGAATGGCATTTTTCATGAAGTTACAGGACAAAAATTAACAATTAGAACGGAGTAATCCTTGGGGTAGAACCTACAATGCAGGTAACAAGCGCATCGATCAAATCCGTAAGGTAAGTACCGTCTTGAGATGCTCTAGTTGCCAGTAGATGACTTGCAAGTGGTTCTGCCATATTACTATAGGCTGTAATCTTAAAAATACTCTGCAGTCGGATGGATTAAGAGCTTACAGAGGTCACAGAACCTAGATGCAACTGCTTCAAATGCTAGATACAGTGTAGGACACCACTAGATATCCCTAACAACGCTGGTAGTAGAAGGAATACACAGGTTACATGACTTATAATATGCAGTGTATGAGTTCTATTTCTATCTTTTTGTCTTCTTGTCTCTATTCTTTGGGGTTGCAGATGCTATGTGGTCTTCAGAATGGACAGTGCCTTCGCGTCGGAAGTTAGTCAGGGCTCATTATATGTTAATCTTGAATGCTACAAGATCTGTAACACAGCTGACCTGGGGCAGAGCAAATACTAGGCTGTCAGCAGGTGATCCGATACTGTGATAGGGTACAGAGAGACTGTCTGTAGGACTTTCGGGTTAATTGTCGGTACAGGGCATCACCCTTGTAAAATCTCAGGGGCACAGCCTTTCTTCAGTCCGAGGAATATTTAAGACATAACCAACGAATGAATTCAATCACTAGCGTACCCATAGGCCTACGCACCTCATCTATAGTTAGAATGGAATGTCTTTGGCCTTTACATCCATAAAAGATCAGGAGAGTAGACTCTATCCCTAGAACGGGATAAAATCCTTCTGCGTGAATAAAACACATAATGGATGATGCAAGAGGCACCAGTAGAAGCTCTGCCACGAGATCATCCTCGGAGATATGGAGGAGTCCGAAGGTGGGTGATACAGGCTCGTTGTCAATGAGAGACTCCCAGATGCGGCGGGTGAGTTGAATGATGCTAGACGAATATGATTTATATCGTCTGAAAGAGTGCCCCACAAAGAACGACAACATTGAGCTTTTTGATCATAAAATACCCTTCAGCTCATACATCTCACTCTCGTCCGTACGGTTCAGCGAATCAACCAATTGGAAAACAATGGAACTCAGCCTCTCCTTCGCTTCCTCCACACTGGGCTCCAAACCTTTCTCATATTTGCCCTTTTTCACACAGAAGTAGTTGACTCTATAGTTCTTGTTCTTCTCATAAACTGTGACCCTTCCTTCTTTCGTCATCGGCCCGTTCTAGAGGTCCCGAGGGGTTCGCTTCATGCGTACCAGACCCTACGTATACACTGGGAGACATCTTCAATTACCGAGTACTCAAGTTTGGGTTTCACGGCTCGATCAGAAAATTAACTGGAGACATTCCTGCATTCCAACTATCTCATGGAATCTACGTTCGGGGCTGGTTCCATCCCGTCCTCTGTGAATATATCGTCCACGGGGAAAGCCATCTTCATGGAAGTTGCCTACACGGTATCTGACCTTGGGGGAAGGGTAACTAACCCAGTTTTCGAAGAACGCCCATGTAACCGGCAAGCAACAATGGTAAGCCCACGACGATTACATGGAAAACGTCGGCATGGACGGTTGGTCCAGCTTTGTATTGGCGTTTATCTAATGCACCTTGTATAGCTTGGAACTTGGAAGATCTGGGAAAGGTCTATTGTGTTCCTTGCTTCTGCCTTTGGGTGGTGAACGGTAGGTGGTTTCCAGAAGGCCAATCCTTTGGGATTAGAGTTGGCCATGATTCTGTATACACTAGCCCGGGACAGAATGGATTTATTCTGTTTGGATGCGGTACTCTATGTAAATATGCAATATTATAGTGATCTTATAACAACAGTAGATGGTGGAAAGATAACTTTGCCCAAGATGAAGCATATTTTGATGCTTGGCGATCTATAACGTACGCAACTGGGAATCTCTGCTCTGCTCCTTAGCACTCACTTTAGAAATCACTTTGTCCAAACGCACATGCCAACACTATTTGCTCAGAATCCTCAGTTCTTATTCCCTTTCCGCATCATGAGTTAAATGGAGATCCTGGCGCCCCTGCTCATGGTGACGCAAGGGTAGACGCTCATGAGTTCTCTCTTCGACCTGCTTCTGCAGACGAGTTTCCTCATCTTTCAGCTCGCCGGTCTCCAACTTCTGCTGTGCGGAGTCACTGCCTTGAACACCTGCCCGGCGCTCATTTCGGATCCGTTCCTGTTCTTGTCTCTGGTCCTTCGCGGCCAGTGCAGCCTCCTCGCGTTCCACTTCACGAACATCAATGCTCTCCAGTCCGATCCTGCCGAGGATATGTCCGACCAGGAATTGGTACCGCAAGTGACCACTGATGATGTCGCTGGCGTCCAAGTTCTCAACACCGGCTACGCCTTGGACGGGTTGTAGTCCCGCAACACCCAGTTGAAGACTGCTGGTACGATACAATAGAGCAAGCACAGCATCGTTCTCTGAGTAAACATTGACCAGTCGTCCGCTGACTACGCTTCGCATACGGCGCCAGTGTTGGGCGTTAGAAGGAGTCGCTGAGCCCATTAAAATTGCAGAGTCCACGAGACCGTATGCACCGCGCTTGGCCAAGCTCTGGAGGCAGGAAAAGATCACCCGCGAGCCTAAGGAGTAACCTATAAGAGTGACTGATCTCTCGCCCTGCACCTTGTTGATCAAGGCATCGGCAAGAACCTCCCCGGCCTTGTCAGCTCGAACTTTCGCAATGCTGAAAGGGTTGTCGGCTACACGAGCAACCTTGAGCAGGCCTAGAGGCAGAACCACGGCGCTCAAGAGGGATGCAAAGAACGTCTTCTTCAGGACTTGTTCACCGGCAGCCCATGCAGCGCTTGTTACCAGGAGATCCATTGCATTTCCGAGGTTCATTAACGGCTCTGTTTCCCAGCGGAGGCCAAAGACCTCGGAATCCGCGCCAATGACACGCCATGGAACGATAAAATTGTCTTCTTCTGTAACCCAACCCGTGATACCGATGGTAACTCGTAGTCTGTGATCCTGCTTAGCGGCTTCTTTTTCATCCTGGTGTCTCTGCCGAGAACCACGGACGGGCAGAAATGCGAAATCCTCCACTTCACGGGCATATTTATCCACCATGCGCCCGGTCATTCGGCCTCCATAAGCGCCGAATAAGCCACCAACAATGACACCACTGCCTGCAAGAGCACCCAGGTACCCTGCAGCTGCCGTAGCACCAAGTCCAATGCCCCCCAGGACAGTTCCCAGTCCAGCTGCAACTAGGGGCGCGGCAAGTCCACCAGTGATGCCAATAAGCGCTGCTCCGGCGACTGAAGCTATACCAACCTTCCACTTCCTCGAAGAGTCGCTTTTCTTGCCATGATTTTGTGCTTCCGCGTTTTTTGATAACTCAATGGCAGTGTCAAGTAATACACGTGCAACTTTGACCTCATCACCATTGAGGATCTTAACATCCAGGTGTAGACTAGATGCGACGTACAGCATCAGTACTCTTGAGCGAGCATTGTAATGCTCCAGGCTGAGCAACAATAGAAGCAGTGAATGGAGAATCAAGAGTCTTTTGGCCTCTGGAAGCTGAAGGAGAGGAGTTCCCATCGGAGGGTAAACCTCACACAGCTTTTCCAATGAGTCCTGGTCTTCAGGAACTACTGGAGATTGTTGTTGAGAAGCCTGCAAGCTAGTACTGGCGCGCTGTTCATCATCATCATCATCATCATCGCTTTTGTTAACAACTTCACCAATCCGAAGGATAACCGAGTCCCTCCAGTCATCGAAGCTTGTGAGCGATGTGGCCTCGGCTTTCAGGTCCTGCGCAGTAGGTTTAAAGTCGGATCGGTCGGTTGGATTCCCTTGCTGATCATGTGACATTGAAGACGAATCGTTTTCTTTGTGGTCAGGAGAGGGCTGATGACTATGTGACGGTGAATCATGAAAATTCTGCTCAATTGTAGCTCTCATTTGTTCCAGAATCGCAGCAACCAGCATTGTCAGGTCTGCCCGTTGGGACCGGTTCAATATAGTTGTTAGGTCTTGGTTACCGTCATTCTTCGGAGCCGCAGGGGCGGTCGACCCGAATTTGCTGGCATGTTTCTCTTTCAAATTCTTCCACATTGATAAAAGATGGACAATGGAGCCGGTTAAAAATTAGCTATGGCTAGATGTTGGACAAACCAGCCACAGAGGGTTTTGCGACAGGTTGTTCGAGTTGACAAAGAATGTAACGTTGACGCCTTCAGGACGATGAAGTCACTGGACTGCTGACTCAGCTGCCCAGAGTAGCACTGTCATTCACCTTCACTGACAGATACCTCGCTCACCAGCACTCCCAAGGATGAATAGAGAGATCCGCGGTTCATCGTCAACTGGAGGATCTTTTAGTTACCTGTTTCCACGACGAAGAATTTACCCTTCGTCTTGGAAGCATAGCCAAGGGCATTTCCGTCCCAAGCATCTCCATCCGGGCGATCATTTCTCTCGGACTCAACGCGTTGGATCCTCTTGTTGCGGCCGACCACTCGTTCTTTGGCTAGAGCGTCCTTCAATTGATCCAGTCCAACTGTATTCTCTTTCAATGCCTCTGGGCTTTCGTCCCGGATGCTCTGCAGCGGCTCGACACCCGTCACGTCGGCACGCTGTATCTCTTTCACGAAATGGATCTGAGACTCAAGGGTCTCAAGCATCTTAGCTTCCTCCTTTTTGGTAGATGGCAGCGGAAGGGCTGAGAGGCGGAGTAGGTGGTGGAGTTGCGCCGGCGTAACTGACGGCAACGATTGTTTCGCGGTCTGGTCGGGAAGGAGAGAGCGGACAGACCAGGATGGCTTAGCAAGTAGCGCATCGAGGTCTACCTGCTCGGACTTAGAGCTGTAGAGACGAGTTCCGCAGATATCAGCCAGGTTGGAAAGTCGCGAAGTCCGAGGTCTGATCCGTCTGGACAATTGAGAAGCCGTGGAGCGTAGACAAAACATTGTACCTCGATTTTCGTGTAATCAGAAACCCGAAGCTAAACTAATAAATTGTTGCTGTGAACGTTCTCAATGAATAGATATTGGAAGAGCTAACCCAGTCGAGGTTAGGGGCAAAAGGTCACGAAAAATAGACATTAGTGCAGATAAAATGTATTGAAATGAAGCAATATATTGAACAGCAAAACCCGCCCACCGCCTACGTGAGCGGGCGGCAGATCATCTCCTCGTCCAACTTTCCGATTCCCCTCAGCCTAACTATATAATTCCATCTATCAACGTCACAGCCCCTCCTGATAAATTTTGGCCTCTAGTGCCGGAAACTGACCTCCACTGCATTCCTCTTATTTTGTTGCTGGGGCCGACAGCTTATCCAACATGGCTCAAGACCCTCGTGTTTTGCTCCAGAAAGTAAGTTCAAAACCGAAACCGTTACCTACCCCGGAATGACGATCACTGATGTCCCATGGTCACATACAGGCAGACAAAGCGCTGCAGGGCGCCAGCAGTGGTTTCAGCTTCTTTGGTGGACGGACAGAGAAATACGAAAACGCAGCAGACTTGTACACGCAAGCTGGAAATGCATTCCGAGTTCAGAAGCAGAGTACGTCCCTCCCCCGCACTGCTTAATGTTCGGTGCTATGACGTGCAGGATATTGACCCGCGCCTTTGTGGGAATATAGATAAGGAAGCCGGTTTAGCATTCGAAAAGGCTGCCTCTATCCAAACACAGAACCTGAATGAGCCTGATGACGCTGCCAATTCGTTGCAAGAGGCCTTCAAGGTCTACCGCAAGTCGGACCCTGAAGATGCCACCCGTGTTCTCTCAAGCGCTATCCAACACTATGTACTAAAAGGCAACTTCCGTCGTGCTGCCACTCAGCAGCAGTATTTGGCAGAGGTCTATGAGGTGGAACTAGGTGATCAGAAGAAGGCTCTAGAAGCCTACGAGAAAGCTGCTGAGTGGTTCGACAGTGATAACGCTGAAGCGTATGTCGTTATTCCCCCATTCTTCCACAATGCTACCTACTAATTTTCCCGGTCGATTAGCCTTGCAAATAAGCACTATCTCAAAGCTGCTGATTTGGCCGCCCTGGAAGGCGACTATTACAAAGCTATCGAACACTACGAGAGAATCGGTCGTTCGTCCATTTCTAATAACCTGATGAAGTGGTCCGTTAAAGATTACTTCCTCAAGGCTGGCATCTGCCATTTGGCCACTAATGTACGCGTCCCAATCATTCCCTTGAGATGCGCAATATATACTAACCATGTTTAGGATCTGGTTGCCACCAACCGCGCCCTTGAGAACTACCGTGATATTGATAACACTTTCGCCTCAACAAGAGAGCACCAATTGCTTATTGACCTCGTTCAGACTATTGAACAAGGTGACCAGGAGGCCTTCGCCGACAAGCTCTACCAGTTCGATCAGCTGAGCAAGTTGGACAAATGGAAGACAACCCTGCTCCTCCGTATCAAGAACAATATCGAGGAGCAAGCAGAGGATTTCTCTTAGATAGCTATATCCGTATCTCTTTTTGCTTCTTCGTTTCACACATACCTCCCCACATAAATTCAGAAGTAGCGCTCCTCGCCACTTGTTTGGATGTTCTTTACTATCATGATCATTACCTCAGTTTTACGGTGCGCTACGTGTCTTGGTTTTTGGGCTTGCTCGTAAATATACATATTTCAGCTATTTCGGATAGGGTGTTACTGAGCCACTAATTCATTCAATTACCCATACGAGGAAACCGGATATCAGAAAAAGAACGATCGTAACTCATTAAAGCTTGACCTGATCTAGTTATTGAAATCTATAAGAAATCCTAATGCTTTTGAAACACCCCTATCTTTCAAGAGGTGAGAATCGTCAATTCATGCAACCGACTTTGTGGTATCATATCATCTTTCCCTTTGAAACCGCCCATATCAATTCCTAAATCCCAGCGGCAAAAATACAAGAAACCCTTATGCAGTAACCTCTTCCATAGTGCGAGCTTTCCGAGGGAAGACCCGCTTATACAAGCTGATACCGATCGAATCTTGAGGGTTGATCTTGGCATCGAAGGTGGCCTTGAAGTAACCGTGGGTACCCAGACTCTCCTTGATGAAACCGCTGCGGCCTCTCCTGGTCCACAGCTGGAGAGCCTTGAACCAGTTGATATCCTCCGGGTTGAAGAACATGTAGCGTACCGTGACCACCCTCTTGTGGATCTTGTATGGGTGACCGGTGAGAATTGCGCGCTTGGCGACAACGCGGGACGTATCGGGTGCCACGACTGTGCCAGTTGCGATGAGTTCCAATTGTTCGACATCTGGTTGGTCGTCTCCGTCCATGACCTCTGGGTCTTGAACGGACTTGTTCTTAAAAACAAGAACAGGGACGGCGCCCCAGGTAAGGGGTCCAATCCATGTCGCAATGGCACTGCGGCCAGGGTGGAGGAACCGGTCGAATTTGTGTACGTTGTTCGGGGTGTTATCGTTCGAGGAGAAGATAGGGTTGACGACCAGGCGGCGGGGTCCGCATTGAACAATGAGCTCTTCCTTGGACTTCAGTGGCTCTTCGATGTTAGAGGTCAAAGTCATGTTCACGTTAACAACGGTGTTCTTGTGTTCGTGACGGAGGAGAGAAAAGAGGCACAGCGGCTGTGGCTTGTTGCGAAGAGATGTTGACACAGCACGAAGGTGGACATCCACGCGGATACCAGGGTTAACACCACCGACAAGGGCCTCCCTGAGTGTCCTGTTCTTAGAGCCCTTGTAATCAATGATCTTAAGCAGTCGACGCCAGTCTTCTGGTTCATGGGGTCGGTCTTCCCTTGTCTCCCAGGGACTGGTCTTGAAGTTCTTCAGACCTCTGAAACGTGCCAAACGTTCTCTCGCGAGGACATTAGGGTGAAGTTCGATTTCGTCGGGGAATTCTAGATCCTCCTTGGCTTCCTTTCTGCGGCTGGCCCGATATTCCTCCAAGTCTCTTTCCTCGTCTTCGGGTGATGGGTCAACAAACATCTCTGACTGGGGGTACTCGGTAGCTCCGGCTTCCGTCATCGCGTCGTGATTGTCTGGGAAGACACCGTCTTCTGGTGCTCCAGCTGTGTCCATAGCCATCTCCTCATCCTCTCCATCGCTGAGGTCTGATCCAGAATCGGACATATCGTCCAAGAACCATGCAGATTGGTACTCTGATGTACCCTTTGGTAGTTTCTTGGGTTTGGCAGGGATGTGAGAATCGTCGTCTGAGAAGTAATGGTGCTCATCAAGTAGGACACCCCTCCGTTCCTCCTCGGGGATTTCCACGTCATCATCCTCCATTTCGATCTCTTCCGGTGCCACAACAGCCAGATCATCAATGTCTGCAGTTGGGGTATCCAAGACTTGGGAAGATTCGTTCTCGTCAACATTCATAGCATCGTCGCGTTTGCCTCGTGCTTGCGGCAATGGGGCTGCTGTAATTGAGTCGATCTGGAAATCACCCCAGCCGGGGATGTGGACTAAACGGTCCGCTTTCAATCCCCTTCCACGTACAACACCAGTCACGACAACATCATCCACAACTTCTGAGTTGGTCTCGGGCCAGGCGACGTTTTCGATGAGCATCCAGCTACGCTCATCACGCCAGCGGATACCCTTCGGCGTAGCGGTACAGAGAGAACGGATGGCATTGGAGCATTCTTGTCTGGAATCTACAGAGAGAACCTTCTCCACTGATGGGAAGAAATGGTTGATGAATGACTTCAGCGAAGAGGCGACCTGTGGGCGTTTCTTGGGTGGGTTGATCTTATCAAGTCCCTAAGCAGTCTAGTTAGTACCATGAACGCTAAGAAACAGACGAAATCCCATACCTGAGCAACCGCAAGGACATTGGAAATACCCTGGCCCTCGATCGAGCGCAGGATAAGTTCGCCTTGTTCCTGAACCTCAACCTCCGACGAAAGAGCCACGACCACAAAGTCCGCCATACGACACACATCCAACGCATTCATCAAATCATACTTCGCGGGAATATACTGAACACTCTGTCGGAAACGGTCTATGCGCACGCGGGAGATGGTGTCATGGGAGACCTCGCAAGAAACGTCCACGCTCTCGTTCAGGGACCGTATGATAGCGGCAATATCGATGTCGGCCGACAGCGGCACAACAGCCACATGACGGGGAGCACCATTCTGACCAGAGAAGATGCTGGTTGCTTGGGCCTTCTCCTGGTGCTTCACCTGCTGCTTCTGGCGGGCTTGGTTCCTCCGATCAAGCTTCGACATAAGTTGTTGATGAGGGGTCTTGCGCGTGCCCCGCTCGCCTCGTTCAACTTTGCCTGCAAGGCATTAGCAACAGATTCTAGACTATAAAACAAATACAGTAGAAAATACGGTCTCGTCGTACCCTTCGCCTTCTCCTTCAGCGCACCCTTAGACGCATGCTTGGTCTTGAATGGCTTGTGGGAAGTTTTGGTGGTAGAACGGTGATGGTGCTGCATCGTTTGGGTGGGCGCCGAATTGGCACCGCTGGACCCTTTGAAACGGAAGGGGAGAGAGTCCAGTGTGAATTATTTACAGAGAATGTAAAATAAAAAGCGAAACTGAAATATTATAAACCGATACACAGTAAACAGCCCAGCAGGTCCCCAGTGGGCAATGAGATCGCCTGGCGGTCAGTTTGCAGAAAAAAAATCCGCTGTGGTGGACAAGCGAAAGGGAAAAAAAGTCTTGGCATGAATTTTCCTGCGAAAGACCCGCAAAACCTCCGGATCGTTGCTCCAACACCTTTCTTCTTTCCTTTACACTTTTGATTGTTTTGCTCGGCTTTTTCACCTTTTAGCTTTCCTTAATTTACCTATTTTCCTCGCCTTCACTCTTCTGTATCTCACCACAGATGGCGGATAACCCGTCAACCAAGGCCGTCGCGCCGGCCAACAAAAAACGCAAAGAGAATAAAGCACTCATTGAAGCGCAACAAAAATATGGACGAGGAAGGGCAATTCCGGTGCAAACCGTGAGGGATAAGAAACTGCGCGCCAATCTCAGGTCCGTCGAAAACAAGTTCAAACAAGCTGCGCTTAAGGCAAAGGATGCAGAGATCCTCTTGGAGCACGAAGCCGGATTCCTCGAACCCGAAACAGAGCTGGAGCGGACATACAAGGTCCGACAGGATGATATCAAAGAGGGCGTTGGGATTGAGACAGCGAAGAAGGGCTTCGAATTGCGACTGAACGACTTTGGGCCCTACCGCGCAGACTATACGAAAAACGGACGTGACCTACTGTTGGCTGGCCGGAAGGGACATGTTGCGACGATGGACTGGCGTGCAGGACGACTAGGATGCGAGCTCAATCTGGGAGAGACAGTTCGGGATGCTCGGTGGTTGCACAATAACCAGTTCTTCGCCGTGGCCCAAAAGAAATACGTCTACATCTACGACCAAGCTGGAACGGAAATTCATTGTCTCAACAAGCACCTTGAACCGCTCTTCCTCGAGTTTCTTCCATACCACTTCCTTCTCGCCAGTGCTGTGAGTATCAATCCTGTCCGGGTCAGTAAAGCTTGTCTAACGATCATGTTTACTATAGCAAATGAGCGGCCACCTCAAGTACACCGATACTTCCACCGGACAAATGGTCGCCGAACTGCCCACCCGTATGGGCGCTCCAACATCATTAGCTCAGAACCCCTGGAACGCTATCATTCATGTGGGCCATCAGAATGGAACCGTCAGCTTATGGTCTCCCAATTCCCAGACGGCGCTGGTGAAGGCCCTCGTCCACCGAGGCCCGGTTCGTTCCATGGCGATGGATAGATCAGGCCGGTATATGGTTTCAACCGGCCAGGATATGAAGATGAACGTGTGGGATATTCGCATGTACCGCGAAGTGCATTCGTACTCATGCTACCAACCAGGCGCCTCCGTTGCGATCAGTGACCGCGGTTTGACAGCCGTTGGCTGGGGCACCCAGGTCAGCGTATGGCGCGGCCTCTTCGACGCAGCGGCCGCCGACCAAGGCAAGGTCAAGAGTCCGTACATGGCTTGGGGCGGAGATGGCCAACGCATCGAGAACATGCGCTGGTGCCCCTTCGAGGATGTACTTGGCGTCACCCACGACCAGGGCTTCGCCAGTATTATCGTCCCCGGTGCCGGCGAACCCAACTTCGACGCTCTGGAGGCCAACCCTTACGAGAACAAGAGACAGCGCCAGGAGGCCGAAGTGCAGGGTCTGCTCAACAAGCTGCAGCCCGACATGATCTCCCTGGACCCCACCTTCATCGGAAAACTGGACACCATCAGAGACCAGAAGAACCGCGAAGAGCGCGACCTCGACCGCAGACCCGAAGACATCATGGAGAAGCTCAAGAACCGTGGCCGCGGCCGCAACAGCGCCCTGCGCAAGTACCTGCGGAAGAAGGGCCGCAGGAACGTCATCGACGACAAGCGGGTCAAGGCCGAGATGCTGCGCAAAGAGCACCAGGCTCGTGCAAGAGACAAGCTCCGTACCGAACGGGAGGACCTGGGCCCTGCGCTGGCCCGATTCGCCAAGAAGGAGGTCTAGTTCGGTCACTGCTTTCGGTGAATACATGGATATTGCTTTTTTGCTTCTTTCCGTCAGGAGCTTTTCATATACCCGATGCTCTCGTAAGAGCTACAGCTCTTATTGGTTTTGTTCACGAACGAATTAACTCTGCATTTGTGAGGCGTTGGTCAAGGGTGTGGAATATGGGATTTCATTAAAAAAGTTTTCTTTCAAACTTACGCCTTTTCTATGTAGTGAATAGACCACCAGCAATTGTACATTTATAAACGTGTCTCATACGAGAAAATCATAGATCATAATCTACTGTTCATCCACACTTCCAGAACCCCTGGGAGCCCCAGCATTCCACCTCTCCAAACTCTGTTCATAAGCCCCACTCCCCTTCCACGCACTGATAATCAAGTTGATAATATGCTGCATCCCCTTCCCATTCTTCACCTCGGCAAACACAGTCGGACCCCCCTCCCTCATCTTTGCTGCATCCCTCTCCATAACCCCCAAATCGGCGCCAACAATATCCGCCAAATCACACTTATTCACCACCAGTAGATCCGACCCTGTGATACCCGGTCCACCCTTCCGGGGCACCTTATCACCACCGGCGACATCAATAACATAGATGATGAAATCCGCCAGCTCCCGCGAGTAATTGGCCGCGAGGTTATCACCGCCAGACTCGATCAGGAGGAGATCCGTCTGGAATTGCTTGTGGAGGGATTGCAGCGCAAGGAGGTTCGCGCTGATGTCCTCACGCACGGCGGCATGCGGGCAGCCACCCGTTTCGATAGCACGGATGCGCTTGGACGCGAGGGCTTTGTGGCGGTTGAGGAATTCGGCGTCTTCGCTGTTGCGGGGTAAAGTTTTATGTTAGCGGGGAAGTTTTGTCTTTTTTTATTTTTCTACGATAGTTGAAGGTGTTTACCGGGTGAAAATGTCGTTCGTCACTGCTGCGATGTTATACTCGTCTCGGAGAGCTCGGCATAATGCGAGCATTAGGGCTGTTTTTCCGGATCCGACAGGTCTGTTTGTGGTGTTGTTAGTGTTTGGATTGGGATTCTTCTTTTGTTCTCTTTTTAATTAATCATTTATGTGTTTTTTGAGAAGACGTACCCGCCGATACCGATGGTGAAGGCGCGATCTTTCCAGTCACGGCCCTCAATCAATGGCATTTCACGGTTCAGATAGGAACCGGGTCCGTCGAGGATCTCATGCGAATGACCGTGGCCACCGAAGTCATCGTGGGAGTGGCTAATGCCTTGATCATGAGAGTGAGAATGAGACATGTTGGGGGATTTGGGGGGAAGTGTATCGTTATAGTAGAGGGGGTATATAATAGGATGTAATGATGAATTGGGTGTGGAGGGGTAGTTATAGTATTATACAGTAGCAAAGGAGGGGCATCTGTTCAGTTATTTAATCATCGATTTAGAGTTGTTGTCGGCCATGGACGGCATTCGTTCGCCGAACCAGCGGAGACTGCCGATACCTCCAGCAATTCTTTCCTACGTAACTCTTTTCCTTCTCTTCATGACGATTTTCTTCTAAGCGAGGTAGCATTCCGATTGGACCCATGCTGACATGAACTGATATGTCATGGGATTTGATAAGATTGGATCTTCGGGCGGGTTGAAATAAGATAATTAAATGTACTCCGTAGGGCTCCGCAATCCATTGAACTGCTCCCCCAATGTCGATCCACCGAAGATCTCCTTGGCCAGGAGCACTACCCCAATAGGCGAACATGTTTCGTGTCCAATCAACTTGTCTAAATGTTATAGAAATCGAATACCAAACAAAACGAAATCAGTCAATCAATCAATAGAGCCATAACTACATTATCTCTTCAGGTACATTCCCAAACGGCGCGGTATGCAGTGTCAAACGTACAGCACAGACGAAATAGCAGCAAGAATTATTTCCAGAGAACAGAAGCCCAACGCCAGACACATCAATCGCCAATGGAAAGACATGGATATCAATAGAGCGGTCCAAATGGTAGAAAATGACCAGTAACGCTATTGGGAATCGAGCTCAGCGTCTCGCAACATCACCTCCACAAGATACAGAGGCAGAGCAAAGTCACAAGACATGGACTCCGAGCAAACAAACCACAAGCAATAAAGTGGATCGTGTACGGCGGGAACAATGCGTAGTAGGCGATATAGACTTCAGGGAGGCCGGTGCCTCGCATCACCAACCGAGATCGCAATGAACAGCCATACCGTACGTATCAATCACACTACACCGACAAAAGACCGCGCATAATTGCAATAACAACGATAATCCGATATGTTCAATGGATAGAGGCCCCAGAAAAAAGAGAAGATCAGCATCGCAAAGGTATCCAAAAACGGTACGCCAGTTCCCCGTCTCTTGAGAGAAATGAAAATGTCACGAAAAAAAATGCGAACAAAGCCCATCGCAATAACTCCTCTAATTAGCAGTGCCTTTCTGCCTTTTACCACCCACTCGAGGACTAGCTTTTACCGTCTTTGGTCCCGGAGCAGCGACACCGTTGACCTCCGGAGCGCCACTGTCATCGTTTTCCATCTTGACTGTGCTTGCCCGGCGTCGTTTATGACTAACATTCGGGCTGGCACTAGCGCTCGTGCCCTGGCCAACATTAGGTTGCATTTGACCCTGTGGCACCATACCTGGAGGGCCAGCAAGATGGCTTTGCGCCGGACTTGGATGAGCCGAGCCGACAAGATGGGGCGACCCTTGGGCGCCCGGCAGACCAAGATGTGCCATTGCTGGAGAAGCAAACTGGTTGGGTCCATTCATATTGGGGCCCCGCGAGTTCTGGCCAGGCTGCATAGCTGGGTTCATCGGGGCTGGCATGAACCCGGGGGTTGGCGTTTGAGTCGGGAGACTATTAACGAGGTTGCGCAGCGCCTCAGGAGCCGAAAGTTGAGGGTTCTGTTGAGAGTATTGGAATAGTAATTGCATTTGAGATATTGTTTCGGCGACCTATGGCGCATCTGTGGTTAGCCATATCACCAAGGAGACCATTTGAAGACTTACCTCTAAGAAGCTCATCACAGCGAAAGGTACACCATTGGCGGTCACCATAGATTCGGGCAAGGTAAAGGCAGGCTGCTGGGCCTGTTTCTGTTGAGCCCGCTTGCCCATATTCT